TCTGACTTGGACCCACCAAGTCACATCTATCAATTCAAACATTTCTGACTTGGACCCACCAAGTCACATATGAATAACATTGTCTGACTTGGACCCTTCAAGTCACTTCTCTTTGACTTGGCCTCCAACCTAGTAGTCTAGCGATGGTCTCCAACCAAACCTCCAACCTAATAGCGATGGCTTCCAACCCAATAGCGATGGCCTCCAACCCTAATAGCGATGCCTCCAACCTACTACCGATGGCCTCCAACCTACCAGCGATGGCCTCCAACCTAGTAGCTTCAAGATATTGGACACCCAGCACCTAGTGTCTTTGGGGCTGAAAGGCGATTTCGGACCCGCAGCGTTCCTGTACTTTCTGGGTGCATGAGCACCGAAATTCGCAGACAGCAGCGAATCGCTTCGAACTGGGCGGGCTGTCGTGCCATAATCAGGCACAGAAGGGAAGGCCTGAGCTTGAAAATGGGCTGAATTCCAGAGGTCAAACTGATTTTGTTTCCTCAGACATGGTTTTGTTTATAGACAGCTCAAGGAATGTCTCACTTTTGGTGAAGGGAGTCTAAAGTCAACAAAGAGTTGAATTCTTGCCTTGAGCTCGGGCCCCGGCCAGAGCTGCCTTTGCGTGACTTGCACGATAAACCTGGCAAGCAAAGCACTTCCAGCTGCAGCAGCTGCTCCCGTAGCGTTGCTAGCACAAAAAAAGCAGGACAAAGGAGAAAAAGAAGACACCTTGGCATTTCAGTATCTCCATTGGCAATGTCGTGGAGCCGGAGCCTCCTTTTCCGCTTTAACCCCCACCACGAGAGCGAAAGATGGGCTTCCTCCGATGTCTAGCGCTTTTCTGCAGACCACGAGCTTTGACATCTCGTCTACGTACGTTGCAATGGGCGCGAAGAGGCGTTTTGCAGGAGTTGCCCAGAAACCTGAAGGGATTTCTGCCTACACGACGTTGAAGCTCCCAGCGAGAGTATACGACGGCCATCTGCTGGGCCGTGTGGATGGCCGTGCGGATTCTTCGGGGATCGACGTCCTCGCAGTGACGTTTCTGCGCTTGAAGCCCCGAAATACTCTTCACACCTTGAAAACCATTGGCGATCGGATCCCTTTGGCGTTCAGTGTCAGAGAGAGAGAGAGAGAGAGCTGACAGAGCCGATCAGTGGCACCTGATCTTCACTTCGCGTAGATGAGGCTCCATCTCTGACTCCTTTGGGTCGGTGGACTGTGAGACTCCCATGATCCGCAGAAGGATGTCTCCGATACTGAACAGGACGAGTTGGCAAAAAAGAGCCGTCCATGACTTCGAGAATGAAAGAGACAAGTCTCACCGAAGATCCTTTCGTAGTTTAGTTGTGCACAGTATAGAGCCTAAAATATGTTGGAAACTCTGCATCGTCTGAGCTTCTCCAACCGCCTGCAGCATTCCTTTTTGCGCGAAGGGCTGCACTTTGCAGACAGCGAAACCGCTTTGTGTCTAGGCAAACCGGTGCGAGAATGAGGCCCAGAAAGAAGGCCGCAAAAGGCTGCGCAAACTTGCTCAAATTCCATCCAACAAACTGGCAGAATTTCCTGATGTTGACAGCTCAGACATGGTTTTGTTCGGAGAGAGCCTAAAGTCGACGAGAAAGTGGAATTTCAGCCATGAGCTGGAGCCTGGCTGCTAAGAAAAAAGCTGCCTGCCGGCCTGGCATTTCACTTTTGTCGGCCAAGCTCAGGCTGTCTCAGGCTGTTGGTCCCCCTCCCGTGTCGGAGGTGAATAGATGCCAAAACGAAGCGCCACCTCCGTTCACTCGCTTTTCTCGTGCTTTCTTTCAGCTCCAAACCGCGCCGCGCCCCCACTCGGCACGCGCCGGTGCCGCGGTGCGCGCCATGGACGGCAATGGCGAAGCGGCGGAGGGGCTGTGGGCGCGGGCTATGGAAGTGGACACCGCTCTTGGTGGGCTTCCTGGGCTTCCTAACCATGCTGGCACTGCTGGTGCTGTGGAAGGCACAGTTGGTGGACTGCTGGTGCTAGTTGAAGAGATCCAGGTGATGGTGCATGCTTCAGCATAAACTCACCCTGATTGGGTCTGTATGCCCACAATATGAAGAAAAATAGCTACACATTGGACATTTCAGAGTGTCTTTGGCCATTGCCTTATTCTTTGTGACATTGGAACCAGGCCTGTAGATTGTAGCGGCTGATGCTTGCCAACGCAGTGCTCCCAGTTCTATTCAGGATATAAGCATCTGGCAAGATCTCCTGACCATTGAAGTAGTCTCACGCGCGCAAAACCTGAAACCGCTGACCAATGTCAGGCCATGTTGTAAACCGGAAACATCGCAGATGCGACTTCTTGTCAAAGGTCGTGTCTCTAACGAACACCAAATGGAACGAACAGGGTCCAGCCGAACCTCCGGCCTCTCCGCTCCCCACGATGCCAGGCCGAGCTCCCGCACCGCCGCGCCCCGTCCACCGCCATGCCGCCGGTGCCAGCGCCGGTGGCAGCGCCGGTGCCAGCGCCGGTGCCAGCGCCGGTGCCAGCGCCGGTG